GTTTTGGAAAAACATGGTGTTTAGTATAAATGAAATTTTTAAGCAGGAGGTAAAGTCAAGTGAAAACACTCTATTTTGACTTGACACATGGATAGGTACTAGTCCACTAAGAGAAAATATATCTGACATTATATGATCTTGAGTCTAGAAAAAGGTGTACTGTAGCTAATCATGCTTTTGAAGGAGATTGGGCCTGGGACTGGGCATCATGTCCTAATGCTAATAATGTTGAGCATGATATTGTATCAATGGAACAAGATTTGGACAATATTACTCTTGCACCGGATCTGGATAATTGGCGTTGCATCATACAACCTGATGGATGCTACACGGTTAGTGCACTAAGGTAGGTAATTGGCCCTCGTACCCTTATCTCCCCAAACTTTGTACAACTATAGTGGCTAAAACAAATCCCGTTGAAAGTTTTATGTTTTATATGAAAAGGAATCCAAAAAACGATCCCTTCTGCCACTGCCTTGAGGTCAAGAGGAATTGCAATCGACACAATTGCATGTATCACGTGTATTGATGGGGTTAACGGTGTTGACCATATCTTAGTTGGATGCCCATTTGCCCTTATGATTACACATTCAAATTTTCTTAACCGGTGTGGAATATAGCAGCAGATCGTGTTTCAAAGCTTGGATGACCTCTTAAACTTTGCTGCATATCCAGGACACAACCCAAAAATGAAAAAAATGTTCACCATCATCTGTTATGGAGCCTATGGAAACGTAGGATTGAAAGGCTATTTCAATATGTGTTCACACATCCAACTAAAATAGGGGATAATGTGAAGTCGTTAGTCTTTTTTTTTGGCTTAAACACAGGGTAAATTGGGTAGTTTTAAGTGGGAGGATTGGAAACACTCTCCATTTTGTTCCATGTGATGTTCTGTTTCTCCTTGTTGTATGTTTTTCAGTCTCATCTAGCTACTTCTATTCTGTTTTTCTCATTGTATTCTATTTTTTGTCTTCTCTAACTACTTGCTTCTCCTTGTATTATGTTTTTCAGTCTCATCTAGCTACTTGTATTATGTTTTTCTCATTGTATTCTATTTTTTTTTTGTCTCCTTTAGCTACTTGTTGGCTGGGGTCGTGAGAAGTTATAATATTTTGCCGTTTCAAAAAAATTTTTTATCTATAACATCTGCTAATAACAAATCATATCTATATAGTTATATAAATATTTACGTTAATTTTTTTTATTAATAACAAATCATATTTAATTAGTTAGCTATTTACATATTTTTTATTTGATAGTATAAAATAAAATAGTTTTTCTTATTTTTATTATATAATTACTAGAATATATTATGAATTAATATATTATATTTAATTTCTTTTATAAATAGTTTTACATAATTTGGCCATTCCCTGTGTGTTTATAATTTCTTTTTATAATTTAAACTTGATAAAAAACTACTTACAATTATTATATAGTTATAATTCATTTTTATATTTTCAATTATAAATGTTATTTTGGTAAATTGCACAAAAGACTAAGTTTTCATAAAAAATATGACACAATGTTATTTTTTTTATAGTTAAAACACTAACTTTTCACAAAAGTTTAATTTTACACTATGTTCTTAATTTGTTTCCATGTTGACAATTTGCCCGATCAACCAAGTTGCCGGTTGATGTTACTTAGTGGCATGGCGTTGGCATGACATGGTGACTTGCAATTTTTGGTGAAAACACTTTTCAATGTGTTTGATCTTCAAGTTATGTATGGGACACGATAGTGCTGTAATGATGTTTAATTTGTGAAATTGGTTCTATTTGATATAATGATGATGTTTTATTTCAAATTCCCATTGTTGTGAAAGAATTTTAGTGTGACTTTCTCTATGCACACAGTTGTAGGTATGAACAAGTTCTAGTTTGTTGTCCATCGACTGTCATGGTTGGTAATCACATTCTTTTTAAAATAAAAGGTTCTGACTATTCATTCGTTGCAAATTTGTGATAGAAGTTAATGCTTAGATTTTGTTGCCTAAAATGGTCATCACCAGAACTCCTTGTCTTAATATTTAGATTGTTATTAAATCCACATCTTGAAGGAACACTTTTCTACATATAATCTTTCATTTCTTTTTTTTTTGGAAAGGGATCTTCCCTAACGAGGGTTTCCGGGCCAGCTTTCTATAATCTTTCATTTCTTCTAAGAAGTTTAGAGCATCTACAATATATTCAATTCTTTAGAGTTCAGTAGATACACACACACGAGTTGTTCTATAAACACAATCCAAAAGTGGAATCATCAAGCCTAATACATTATTTACTCTACACACTTAAGACATATCTTCAGTTCCCATTAATCCCAAATATACCATGAATGGAGAGAATTGTATTGTTGACATAACAAATAAATGTAATGCATTACTTCATTAATACAATTGGAATTTGACACATCACCCCACGAGTGACAACATTATTAGATGTTGTTGGTTATTTTATCACAAGTTTAATGTCGATGGTTTGTTGGAAAAATATAAGGAATTGATTGTTGTTAACAGAAAATCCTAACAATTGATTGCTATGAAACCTTTAGTTTGTCAAACATACCACAATTAAAATGATTTGTAGCATTGTATGGGTTGATATTGGCCCATGTACTGAATGGACGTCGTGTCTCAAAACACGTTCTTACATGATACACTTAATGAAACCGTACACATGTACCAACCTTTAATCCATCCTACCCCAATCATGTTTGCAAGCTACACAAGTCCCTTTATCACTTAAAACAATCCTGCAGGGATGGTGCAAATGTTTTGTGGTTTGACGGTAATGTTGGCGAACTAATGTCCGATCCCTTTTTATACTGTAGTCTAGCATAGTCTAGCAGGTGCTCTACAATACCTTATGTTTACAAGACCACATATTCCATATTCAGTTCAACAAATATGTTTATTAATTTATGCACACACCTCGTGATCCACATTAGGACACTTTAAAACACATCTCATGATACTTGAAAGGTACCCTCGAACTTGGATTACATCCATTTCCATTAACACTAATCAACCTATTTCATGTATTGATTATGACTAGGTGGCTTTTGCAATACATAATGGTGTACCTTCGAATAGTATGTCTTTTAGGGAAACATTCTAATTTCCTGGTCCACAAAATGCAAAACCACTTTGTCTCGATCCAACACTGAAATTGAATAAGGTTGGGTCACTAATAAAATCTCTGAAATATGTTGGTTGTGCAATCTTATCTTAAAGTTGTGCATTCCCATTCGTTATCCAATGTTGGTATACAGTGACAACATCTCATCCGTTTACTCGTGCTGCAACCTGGTTCAACATGAGCGGGAAAAACATATCGAGATTCACATATATTTTTTGTTCATGAAAAGTTTCCCTCGACTATATCATAGTACTTCACATTCATTCCACCCACCTACACAAAAACATTTCACGAAAGAGTTGTCTCGTTTACTTTTCCATGAATTCAAATACAACTTGAGTATATCTACACCTCGTGCTCAAATTGTACAGGTCTAATAGTCGACTTACATAATTAATATATATTCAAACTAGTTGTGAGACCTGTATGTTATACGGGTTAAATAAAATAAAAAATTAAATATGAAGGTTTAAACAAAAAATTATTTAAATTTGAAATTTAAAATTTAAAATTTAAAATTTAAATTTTGAATTTAAAAGGAAACATATTAGATGCTATATGAGTTGTAATATTGTAATTTATTAGTTATTTTCAATTAAGACAATTATTAATTGATGTGTAAATATAATGTGTTAATTAAAAAAAGATCAAAAAAAATGAGAAAATGACAAATGAAAAAAACATTTATTTAAAAATACCAAAAAATAACATGTGTCCTAGTTAATAAGAGAGTGATACGTGACAAAATTATTTTAATTTATTATGAAGAATATATTATCCCGATCTAATTATCTTTGTATAGTCTTATACCATAATTATCATGTCATTGTAACCTTGATTAGGCCTGACAATCGTGTCGTGTTCGGGTTGGCGTGTCGCGGGTTGGCGGGTTGACGGTTCAAAATATACCAACCCAAACACGACCCATTTAAATATACAGGTCACGGGTTGACGGGTTTGGAACATAAACCCATATATGACCCGCCAACCCATTTATTTATACGAGTTCACGGGTTGGCGGGTTTGTGGGTTAGATTCCATAAATAAACTTGAAAATTAAACATGATTAAATTGTTGATGGTTGATGCAAACATATCCGAATTTTAGACACTTAAGTCTTAAACATCCAAATGAAAATTAAAAATATTCATAGAAACATGTTTAAACTAAACATTAATACAAACATAGATAATTCAAGTGGTGTATGAATCAATGGTATATATATTATATAATACTTATTAAATATTAATACTTGATACATAAATACATTTAAAAATAAAATATAATTTTTTTTATTAAAAATATAAACGGGTTGGCGGGTCAACCCGTTAATTTTTTTAGAAACCCATATATTACCCGTTTAATAAACGGATTGACGGGTCGGCGGGTTGACGGGTTAGCGGGTTGAAAAACTCAACCCAAACCCATTTATTTCGTGTCGTGTTACGGGTCGTGTCGCGGGTTGTATCGAGAATTGCCAGCCCTAACCTTGATATTCATTTATGAATGAGAAGAGGCATCAATTCATTCATGTTAATATATTTATTAAATATTAATAATTTTTCAAGCACTTCCGTAATTGATCAACCAATAAGAAGAGTACATCGATCATGAACTTCAAAACACACCTTCAAACTTATATATATATATATATATATATATATATATATACACATTAAGACTTATAAGTAATAATATTATTTTTATTTAATTTTACATATGACACCAATTCATAAGTGACAACAAAATATGAGTTATTAGATTTCTATTTGGGCCTTTTACCGGCGACATTTGGGCCTTTTACCGGCGACTTTTGTCGCCGGTAATGGCCTTTTTCCTTGTGGTGAATGTCGACCAATTTACCAAAATATGAGTTATTAGATTTCTATTTTGGTTTTATATTTGCAGATATTGTATAGCTTATGGAAAAAGTGCGACATTTGGAAATACCGCTCGAAAATATAATCCTAGCTACAAAAAACTTTGATAAAGAAAATTTCATTGCCAAAGGTGGATTTGGGAGTGTTTATAAGGGAAATCTCCAATCGTCTAATGGTGTCATTGATGTCGCTGTGAAGCGATTAGATCCTGATTCAACACAAGGGAAACATGAATTCATGATGGAAATTACAACTCTTTCTAGTTATAGACACAAAAATCTTGTCAGTCTGGTTGGTTTCTGTTACGTAGACAAGGAAAAAATACTTGTTTATGAACATGAGAGTAGGGGAAGCCTTGACAGATATATACAAAACCCAGTCGACCTTACCTGGATCAAGCGTTTGAAAATAAGCATTGGCGCCGCTTGTGGCTTAAATTATCTTCATGATGAAGTTGGACAACAACATAGAATTATCCATCGAGACATTAAGAGTGCAAACATTCTGCTCAGCAAGGATTGGGAAGCAAAGGTTGCTGATTTTGGATTATCTAAAATAGCTCCCGCAAATATACAACACACTTTTCTTGTAACCGCTGCTGTTGGCACATACGGCTATCTAGATCCGGCGTATTATTATACTGGAGTTCTAACAAAGGAATCAGACGTTTACTCGTTTGGGGTTGTACTATTTGAGATCTTGTGTGGACAACTCGCGTTTTTAGAAGGATCTGGTTTTCTAGGTCCATTGGCTGAACGTAAGTATAAGGAGAACAAAATGGATGATATCATTATTCCTAATTTGAGGGAACAAATGAAGCCACATTCTCTCAACACATTCGCTGCCATTGCATATCAATGCTTGAAGCCCGATCGAAGTGAACGTCCAACAATGGCTCGAGTCATTGAAAAACTCGAGAACGCATATGAAATTCAAGTAAGTTTACTTTACTTATGTCGGGTGCTTTATGTTTTACCTTGTTCGTAATATTTTACATACAACGTATTATTTATATTTAACTTGTTATATTATTATTATTATTTAATTACTCTGGGTGCGTAATTAGCTATCCTTTTGTATGTTGTTTTTGCAAGGCTTCTCTCAAAGCACCAGAATTTGCTCAAGTTGGAATATGGGGAACAAAATCTAGTGGAGGTCCCCAAAATATTTGGGAGTTCATACTTAAAAAAGATCATAAACTGACGATGATAACTATTGATCATGGTGATCTAATTTACTCTCTCATGTTCACTACTGAATCAAAGGGTGTTTTGTACACTTCCAAAAAGGCTGGTGGTTGGAATGGTGGAGAAACAGTTTCTGAGGTCTTAACAAACACACTAATACAAATATAATTCTTCACTCGTTTGTTTATATTTAAACATTCAATAAGAGTTAAAAGCAATCTTTTTTTAAACAAAATATTATTCTCCGACTTGGCTAGGTTATGTTTGAAGATGATGAGGAAATAATTGGCATCGATGGAACAGTTGGGGTATCAAGAGGGGCATATGCTGGCTACACAATAATTTCATCACTATCATTTCTTTCGAACAAGAAGATTCATGGACCTTTTGGTCGAGTAACAAATAATCCTTTCTCTGTTCCATTGGACAAAGGAAACTTTGGTGGACTTTATGGCCTTGCAGGCTACTATATTGATGGAATCGGTGTCTATATGAAGGCTTCATCTGATGAAATCACACAGGTTGGAGTTTGGGGAGAAAAATCTCTTGGAAATCCTGAAAACCAGTGGTCTTTCCAACTTGAGAGAAATCATCATCTGAAGAAGATAATCATAGATCATGGGGATCTCATATACTCCCTCATGTTCACTACCGAATTTAGGGGCGAAGAGAAAACTTCTAACAAGGCTGGTGGTTGGAACGGTGGAGACATAGTCTCTGAGGTACAAACATCACTTAATGAATATGTCTTGAGTTTCGTTATATTTGTTATCTTTTTTAAATCTGACGTTTGCTATTTTGGTTGACTTGTACTTTTCCTTTTCTATTTCTCTATTATGGCTTAGGTTACATTTACGTGGGACGAGGAAATTATTGCTATCAATGGAACAGTTGGTGTCTCGGGGGGAACCATTGCTGGTTATACAATAATATCGTCACTCACATTCGTCACCAACAAAAACACCCATGGACCTTATGGTAGTGTAACTGGGACCCCTTTCGCTGTACCATGGGACAAAGGTTCATTTGCTGGATTTTTTGGCCGTTGTGGCTATTATATTGATGCCATTGGTATATATTTGAAAGCTACTATATAAGTAACTAGGTCATGCTAAGGGTAAGGAATAAAAAACCTTTTGTTGCTATGACGCATTGGGATCCTTTCACACCCTTTTTTGCTATGAATCATTGGCATGCTTTCACATTTTCCTTGTCATGTAGAAAACTAGGTAGCTTTTTGTTACAAGTCTCTATATACGGATGAAATTAGGGTATTACAAAATATTCCAATCTAAACATCCAATTTGAAAATCCGAAGATCAGAGATTATCGGAATATTCAAATATCCGGTTTTTTCGGATTGTATTTGGATAGTGAATTGTAAAAATTATAGATATTTCGTTATCGGGAATCCAAAATACATAATATTTATTTTTAAAACATATTTATAATATATGACATTATTAATCTAAAATTCAAAATTACAACATTATTGTGTGTTTGCAATTGTCTTGCAATTGTCTTTCTTCCATCCCCTTCGCTATGCAACCTTCACATATATTCAACTCGGAGATCTTAATATGATCTATTGAAACTTTCAATTTTTTTTATTTGCGTGGAGGTACTTTTTGGTGGTCTAAATGTTTGGTTCTAAACTTTTAATGCTAATTTAGTTTATGTTCATAGTTAATGATAAACGAAACTTGTGTTAATTTCAATGACGAGGGTTCTTTTTGATAATTGCGGTATGTCCAAGGTTTATTTGTATAATACAAAATTACATTAATGGTTCATATGGTTTAACAAATGTTACAAACTTAATCCTTACTAATTTATTTTTTAGGAACCTGGTCCATATAGTTTCCAAAACTTATGTGAATGGTCTTTTTTATTAACATCATTAGATTTTTTCGTTAATATGAGAATAATTAGGTCATTTCAGATAATAGAGATCATTGTGACCATGAGTAAATCATAAGGACCATTTAAGTAATTTTGTGTATATTTTATGTTGATGAGTTTGTGACTTTTTCATCATTCTACTTTCTTAAAATATTAAGACAAAATTGCAAAAATAGTCCCTGTGGTATGCAAATTTTTGGGATTTTAGTCCAAATCACAACTTTTTTGGATTGGTGGTCCTTTTGAGCTAGTTTCTTTGCGTTTTTGGTCCCTCACTAAACTGAAAAGACTGTTATGCCCTTCTTGTATATATTTTTATGCTTTTTCTATTTAATTTAAATGAAAAATAAAATAATTACCTAATTTGGGGCCTCTCTCTCTCTCTCTCTCTCTCTCTCTCTTGTAGGAAAGCACCATAGATCTGTACACACATGTTAGTGTCCCTGTGACCTCCTAATGCCCCCAACCCCAAATTTGAGAACCCCACGAAAAGTAGAAAAGAACGATTGATCATTCGATCTTCAAGCTTCATACTCTAGGAACCGAAGTTCCACTGGTGAATTTCTTCTTCTTCACCCATCAAACGAGCCATGTGATGAATTTCTTCTTCTTCACCCATCAAACAACTATAGTGAAATTCCCTAAGTGATTTGAAAGTCGCATTACCCATCCTCTGTTTGAATCTCTGACTAATTGACTTCTAGCCTTCCAAACCCCAAAAAAATCCAGAGCCGGTCCTAGCTTTCAAAGTGTATACAGAGAAAAATAATAGATCTGCTCACCCCCTCATCTTTTTTGCAATCGTTTCTGAACCTGGTGGCAACAAGTCTAAAAAAACGAATCAATAACAAGGTAATGAAGGTGGGTATGTAAAGAAGATGATGCAGGAGGTGATGCCTGGTGGTGTAAGGTTTGTAGAAACGATGGAGGTTGATATAGGAGGGTAATTGAGGTGATGGTTGGTGTGTAGATGGAGATGGGTCTGCATATTTCTGGGTTTGTAAACTGGGATCCAACTCTCTGATAGTGTGGTATATGTATATACGTATGTGAGGAGAAAGTGGGTAATAGATGAGTTGGGTTTGGATTTTTGAACAAGATGAAGGTGTTGAAGAATTTGAATTGCAGGTTGGATTTTAAGTTTAAGCTCTTGGTTTTGATTTGAGGTTAGAATTAGATTTCAACAATGGTGGTCAAAGGGTGGAAGCAGACGGTGGTCAAAGGGTGGTGGTGGTGGCGGATGGTGGTTAAAGGGTGGTGGTTATGGAAGATATTCTTAAGTTCATGAATATGCTTTTGAGTGTTCTTGAGATTATGAAGACGTGTTCTTAAGATTATGAAGGTGTCCTTGGGTGTTGAGAGAGAGAGAGAGAGAGAGAGAGAGAGAGAGAGAGAGAGAGAGGTGGGACCTCTATTATTTTTTTAATTGTTAAAATAAATAAATAAATATTAAATTTTATGAAAAATGAAAGAAAAATAAAAAATAAATACCCCAAGGGTATTATAGTCATTTCAATTTTTGAAGGGACTATTTTCACATACAAACCACTCCAAAAGGACCACAAATCCAAAAAAGTCATGGTGTGGACTAAAATCTCAAAAATTTGCATATCATAGGGATCATTTTTGCAATTTTCTCAAATATTAATTTGACCTTTCATTTTGAACTTTGTAAAATATTATTTTCATCATTTTATTTTCTAAACTTTAGTTTTATCCCTCCTAATATATATAATTTGATTTTCCTTAATAACTTTTATTTGTTAACCTAAAAAAATCATTTTTTTACGTATGTATTTTTATATATGTGTCGGTAAAGATTCAAGGTGGTTAACATTTCAACATGAATTTAGAACTTCTGTTCATTATTTAAAAAAACACTTGTTTTTTACGTACGTGTCAGTTTAAATTCGAGTTTGTCAACATTTCAATGTAATTTTTTTTACGTTTTCATGCTAAATTTTATTTAGGTTTTCTACGTATTAGTCGAGTCACACATAATAAATTTTGTTCGTTAACTTAACAAAAACGTATTAAATTTGACTTTGTCTATGTTTCGACGTAATTTATTATTTACATTTTCGTGCTTAGGTTATTTACGTTTCTACGTATGAGTCAGATCACATTTCACAACTTTCGTTTGATAACTTTAAAAAATGTATTATATTTAAGTTTGTCTATGTTTCGATGTAATTTGTTTTTTGTGCTTAATTTTATGTATGTGTCCTACATATGAGTGAGGCCACATATAATAACTTCCGCTCATTAACTAAAAAAAACTCAATTTTTACGTGCTTATTTTTATTCGTGTGTCGGTATAAATTCAAGGTGATTATTGTTTTGATGTATTCGGCGTAAATCTAGAAATTTCGTTCATAAATTTGATAATAAAAACTTACTTGCTTTTTATGTACGTGTCGTTATAAATTCGGGTTTATATATGTTTCGAGATAATTTTTTTTATGTTTACGAACCTATTTTTATGTACGAAAAAATAAGTACGTAGATAAAAATAAGCCGAAAAACATAAAAAAATATCAAAACGTATATGAACTCTAATTTCTACCGACACATACAATAAAAGTTCTAAATTTTTGTTGAAACGTTGATCACCTTATCAATACATACAAAAAAATAAGCACATAAAAAATTAGTTTATTTATTTATTTATTTTAAGTTAATGAACGAAAGTTATTATATGTGATCCGATTTATACGTAAAAAATGTACATAAAACTAAGCACAAAAATATAAAAAAATACGTTGAAACATATACACAAATCGAATATAATTTTGTTTTTTCTTAAGTTAACGACTAAAAGTTATTATATGTGATCCGACTCATACGTAGGAAACATATATAAACGTAAGCACAAAAAAATATAAAAAGTACTTTAAAACTTAGACACACTCGAATATAATACGTATATTTTAAGTTAATGAACGAAAATTATTATAGTTGACCCGAATAATACGTAGAAAACGTACATAACATTCCACACGAAAACATAAAAACAATTACATTAAAACTTAGACAAACTCGAATTTAAACCGATATGTGCATAAAAAACAAATAAGTGTTTTTTTAGTAGTAACAAACGAAAGTTTCAAATTCACGTCGTAACATTATCTATCTTGAATTTATACCAACACATATATAAAAATAAGTATGTAAAAAAATTATTTTTTAGGTTAACGAAAGGAATTTATTAAGAAAAATCAAATTATATATATATATATATATATATATATATATATATATATATATATATATATATATATATATATATATATATATATATATATATATATATATATATAAGGGATAAACACGAAAATTTAAAAAGGTAAAGGGTGCAAATAATATTTTACAAAGTTGAAAATGAAAGGGTCAAAATGAGATTTTAAAAAGTAAAAGGATAGAAAAACCACAAACTTATAAATGTAAAATATAAAGAAAATTACATAAATGGTCCCTATGGTTTAATCATGGCCACTAACGTAGTCTCTTCTATTTGAATACCAAATTACCCTCATACTAGCGGATGAAAACTAACAGTGTCAACAAAGAGGATCGTTAACGCAAGTTTTTGAAACCACGAAGAACCATTTTTTGTTAATTTCTTTTAGTTAGGGCCAGGTTTTTGTCCTTAATAATCCAAAGGATCATTTACGTAATATTTTCTTGGGAAAATGACTTAGGAGGGTAATTATCTATTATCTGTATTCACATATTGGCAACTTCTTCTTTTTTGTACATAATAAAGCAACTAACTTATTTTAACTGTTTAAATTACACCAATATTACCGGCTAAAACAGGTAGCTCAAAGGGAAAATGACTTAGGAGGGTAACTACCTTTTATCTGTGTTCACATATTGCCAACTTCTTATTTTTTGTACATAAGAAAGCAACTAACTTATTTTAACTATGTAACATCCCAAAAATCATGACCAAAAATTTTGTTTTTAATTTAATACTAAAACCATAATTGTCAAACCATTAACTTAATACTTCGGCATCGGGCCCCGCCCGGCATCAGGCCCCGCGCATCGAGCCCCGCTCGGTATATAGATCTATCTCTCTTAGGCCCCGCCCGCTAAACACATACAATCATATAACATGCTAACACATAAAGAAACATACTCTACTGTATCCATGTCCTAAGAAACATACTTTGCTAATAATGAGATACAGAACATCCTCCGTACTCAGCTAGTGATGAGATACAGGACCTCGCCCACACTCACCTCTCTACCAGGCACATACAAGTATCACATGACAACAAGTATAATCTAACATGCAACGATTCCTTGGGCACCCGCCCGACATCAGACCTTGGTCTGGAATAACATACTAGCATACAATGCCTAAGACTAACCCCCGGGTCTTCCTACTCATAGACTACATGGGCTAGCATTGTGGGCTTAGACCCATTCACACAGTGAGGAGACTCACCTTGCACTGTTGAAGTCTTGGCTGGAACTAGCTGAGTACGGACGAAGTTCCA